GGTTAGTAAATAATAAGGGTGACCTGTTGTTTTGGAGAGAGAATAGTGACAGATTTGGGAAGTAGAAGTGCTCACTTGTATGTTTTTTTTTTTTTATTTTTATTTTTTTTTTTTTTCATTTATTTGTTTGGTACAGGGTCTTACTATGCAGCTCAGACTCCTAGTGATCCTCCTGTTTTAAGCCTCCCCAGCACTGGGATTATAGGTGTGCACCACACCCGGACTCTGCAGGTTCATTGCGCCCCTGGGAGCTGGGCTGGTGCAGCATGTAGGACCAGGGATCAAACCCTGGTCCGTGTGCCTGCCAGAACAGGTGCTTTGTCCACTGAGCTATCTCAGTGGCTCCATTGTTTTTTTCTCAAAGTTCTAAGACTTTTAACCTTGTATGTATTTATCTGTGTACATTTTGTTTTGTTTTACTAACCAGAATTGAACTCATACCTCACACTTGAGAGATAGGCATTGTGCTGCTAAGCTATATGCCTGGCTCTCCTATGTACATTTTTTAATTTTTTACTTAAATTTTATTGAGAAATATGAATGAGACATTTTCAAAGCTGATAGGACATATTTTCAATATTTCTGTAGACTGAGTTTGAAGTTGTGATTGGAGGAGATACAACTTAGAAGTTAAGGATGTCCATGTTGCTCACAACAACTACAGCACAGGTCTTAGGCAGATAAGATTCCCAACTCTCTCAATAACTATTTTCTTATCTGTATATGCAGATAGTTATTTGTGGGGCTTTTTTTTTTTTTTTTTTTTTTTAGTATTCTGGAGGCTATAAAACATGTCCCAGTGACCAATTGGTTGCTTTTGTAGATAACACCTGTTCCCCTTGGGCATTCACCTGTGGCCATGGAGGAGAGTGTATTCCTAGTCATTGGCGCTGTGACAGACACAGTGATTGTGTGGATGGCAGTGATGAGCAAAACTGTCCCACTCAGGCACCTACCTCTTGCCCTGTGTCCTACTTCACCTGTGACAATAACCGCTGTATCCCGAGAGACTGGCTCTGTGACACAGACAATGACTGTCGCGATGGATCTGATGAAAAGAACTGCAGTAAGTATTGAAATGATTTCTCTCAGTTGGTTGGCCTAGTAAATAAATTAGAATAACCAGTAGGATCTGTACTCTTCCCTCTGAGATTCACAGTTTTCTTTGTGTCCTAAGTCTCCTTATTAACGGGCTCTAAACACAAAGATGGGTGGTTGCCTATGTAAAACTTAGAATCCCATAAACTGCATATTATGGAACTAAAAGGCACCAGAACAAAGAAGGGCAGAAAATTTCAATTCTTACTGGTTCTTATCTTGCCAGTTCTCATGTCTGTAGGCCCTAAAGTTTAGGCTGTTGTTTATTTGCCCATCTGAAATAATAATTTAAGGTGGAGCAAAGTTCTATGGACTAAATCCGAGTGCTGATTGCATGACCTGGCAAGTCACTTCCTCTTGGGCTTTCCGCATCCCTCTAGTTTTTGTGTTCTACAAGGCTCTATTTTATATAACTTCATGTTTTGGTTGGTGTAGCCAGAACATCTGACTGTGACCTAACAGCAAGGTAGGACCCTGGCTTTTAGATCTGGGGTATTATGGCTTTGGCTTAAACCTAGTCTTGGTCTGTCTGTACCCTGGGTCCTGGCATGTGAGTTAGCTGACCATGCTGCCTGGGTGGGCTCCTGGCTTAGCTTCAGCCTAGAGTCACAGATTCAGTAGTGTTTGTGAGTTGTAGTGCCAGCCCAAGCATGCAGTGCTCGCTTGCTGAATGCCTTCAATTTTTCCAGGTGTAATCACAGTTCTCAGTCTACCCTGTAATCTTCTGTTTTTGATTCCAAAACCTGTCCTAGCTTGGAGTTTATTACTGATCTAACTCTGACCTTGTGGCTGATTTGAAAGAATTTTGAACACATATACCATATAACTACTTGGTGATTTCAGTTTGGCTGTGGTATACAATGAGCAGGAAAGAAACTTACTTGGCTCTCTTTCTGGATTAGATGCTTCATCGACATGCCAACCCAGCCAGTTCCATTGCCCTGATCATCGATGTATTGACCCATCCTATGTCTGTGATGGAGACAAGGACTGTGCTGATGGATCTGACGAGGCTGGGTGTAGTAAGTGGATTTGCTATTTATTTTCTCGATGTTTACACAAAAATCACAGGTTTAGTCATTTTGTCCCTGAGCTCATTTCTTATGCTTTTCTCTTTTCATCCTTAGCATATAACTGCACTGCTTCTCAATTCAAATGTGCTAACGGGAATCAGTGTATCAGTAACAGATACCGCTGCGATGGTGTGTATGACTGCAGTGACAACTCCGATGAGGCAGGCTGTTGTGAGTACCGCATCATGTACCTCACGCATTTCAGGCCAAGGGATCCCTTCCCCTTCGCTAGGATTGGTATTACTGTACATTTACATTTCCACAAACTCAGACAAACTGTGGGAAAGAACTCTTATATTACAAATTATTCTTATAAAAATGAAGAGTTGATGTACAATCCAATTGCCTAGGTGCTATCAAGTAATGATTTCTAATTAGCTAATTATGTGGTTCATCATTTTTTAGAAGTTTTGCTCTTAATTTTAACTTGTTCAAGGTTATCCCTATGTAGTGGTTTGTGAACTTTCGAGGCTTTGCTGTAATTGATGATATTGTAATGATTGCTTTTAAGTCACATTATGCCTCAATCAGGAAGTCAAATAATGGGCAAAAATGATGTTGGCTCTATTGTTTGAATAATTGCAGAGTAGGCTTTGTCCTTAGGATGTGGTAAGGGACATTACGGAAGACAAGAGATGATCAAAGTAAGGTAGCTAGTCTCCAGAGTCTTAAAAATGGTGCAGATAAAATTCTATGGAGGTTTCTTTGCGAAATGAAATTCCTTCTATTCAGATGATTCAAGAATTTATGCAACATAAATCTGATTGTCCCTTTAATAATCATAGCCAGTCGACACATAAATAACATCACTTAAAATTGTCAACTATCTGTGTTAATGGACTTTAGGCTTATTAAAAAATCATCAATAAATTGGTCCTTTGAACAATGAATTGCTCAGCAACTGGAAGTTCTTGTATCATGAATTTTCTTGTTTTGTGTAGAAAACAGGGTTCTGTGATCATCTATGACAGACTGGTAATTGCTGTTGAGACTTGTTGATTTACAAGTTCTTGGGCGGGCCAAATAGCTCAGCGGATTAAAGCCCCTGCAAGCAAGTGCAGGGGCCTGGGATTCAATCCCTGGGCCTGCTGTGCTGGCCCTGCCCCCGGTGCATGCTGAGCTGGCAATTGAGAGGGGCCTGGTGGTACGCACTTGTAATCCCAGCTCTTGGGAGGCTATAAACAGGCGGATCACTACAAGTCCAATCTAGTAGTGAGGCCCTGAATACCCTGTAGACCCTTCCCTAAAATACAGGAAAAAAAAAACCAAACAAGTTCTCTGGGAGGGGGATGAAGTTTGCCCCCATGAAATAGGGAAGATATTCTTATCCCTGAAGGAGATTTTTTGGCTGCCCAAAATACTGTGGAAAGTTTACAAAGAATGAAATATTTACTGTCACCTTTAGTTGCCTTAATATGTGATAGTTTTATTGGATATATTTTATTTGAGGGAAAATTATAACATCCAAACACATCAAGTTCAGTGTAGCTGTTTAAATTCCATTGAAATCTTACAGGTGATTTTTAATAGAGAAACAGGTAAATTCTAATGAATTTACAATAAAAATATACTAGACATTTAGGAATCAGAATATTCTTCTAACTTTAAAAGTTGTACATCCTGTATTCAGTTTGATGTGAGATCCACTAATTTGGTACATAAATATTTCTATGGATTTTGTTATGAGTGTACAGTACAGGAGAATACCTTCTATTATCTTAGTCTTTAAAATTAAATATTTTCCTTTTTTTTTTTTTTTTTTTGCTTTTCTCTCAGGGTTTTACTATGCAGTTCTGCAGTTCATGCTGGCCTTGAGCTCTCTTTGTAGCCTAAAATTAATTTTGGAATAGTCATTGCTAGAAACCTACTACCGATCCAAAATGATTTCCTATAAGCTATAGAAGAGATTGTGCATTGGTCCACAAACTCATTTTCCCCACAACTTTCTCTAGTGACCAGGCCTCCTGGGATGTGCCACACAGATGAATTTCAGTGCCAAGGAGATGGAACCTGCATCCCAAGCACCTGGGAGTGTGATGGGCACCCAGACTGTGTCCACGGGTCTGACGAGCACCATGGCTGTGCTCCCAAGACCTGTCACCCATCTAATTTCCGCTGTGACAATGGAAACTGCATCTACAAAGATTGGGTCTGTGATGGGGACAATGACTGCAGGGACATGAGTGATGAGAAGGACTGCCCTACTCAGCCCTTTCACTGCTCCTCTTGGCAGTGGCAGTGCCCCGGCTATGCCATCTGTGTGAACCTGAGTGCAGTGTGTGATGGTATCTCTGACTGCCCCAATGGGACAGATGAGTCCCCACTTTGCAGTAAGTTTCCTGACCACATATACTGGCCTTACATCCATTCTGAGTGATAGGCCCCTGTGCCTCCCCATTGTCACTGTCCCCTTGCAGCTTTTTAGGAAGAGACTTTAGTTCCTCGGTGACTTCAAATCTCTGTAGGAGTAACTATAATTGAACTCAAAGAAATCAGCACTGGACAATACTTCTCATTAAATCTTTGCACTTGGCTATGTGTTTCTCCTTCTTTTTATGTTATTATTTAGAAGAATGAGATTATGCAAGTCTGTCAGCTTGAAGTTTGGTCACACTGGTAATGCCTCAAGAATTTTCCAACTGTAATGTTTTCTAATTTCAATCAGATCTTGCCACAGATCAAATGAAGTCTGGGGATTTGTGTTTTCTGTGATTAAAATGCTATGATTGGCATGTAATCCTAATTACTGTCCTTTCTTTCTTTCCTCTTTAATCAATGCTCATTCTCAGATGAACTGCAGCCAGGTATGACTGTGAAGTATTTTAGATTCTTACGATTTTATATATGTTGTCTTTGAAAATGTGATTATTATTATTATTTTGACTTCCCTTCTTAGTGCATGTTCAATGTTGTGACTCACATAAGTTAGAATACTAATGGGAACAGTGGGTATTTGCATCTCTGGGCATGTGAACTGTCTTTGGGTGACTGCAGTCTTTGGCATTTTGGCTCTGAGAGTACGGAGTGTTGGTATGTTAGGACATTTCTGGCCTTAATGTTCTGCTTACCTTTACCCTTCCATTCATTCGCTTTCCTAGATCATCTAGCCTTTTCTCTTAAATGTTAATTCTTACCTTTCATTTCTGTATAGATAGATGAATTTCAGAGGAAGCAAAGAGAAGCAAGTTAGATTTCTTTGCATCCTTTGCAAATAACAATTTTGTTTCTTGATGTCAATAGTATTTCCCCAAGAGTTTTTCTTATTGTGGTAAATGGAATTAAGGTAAAGAAGGTGGTCCAAATCCAGTGGGTCGTAAGTCTTCAGGCAAATCAGAGCAGACCCTGAGCAGTCTGTGGAGAGCTTCGTAGTGAATTTTACTATTAAACTCTTACCAGGGCATCTCAGCAAGGTGGCACAGGATTACATGAAAAGTTTTACATCAGGGTGCATCAATGTTCCTGACCTTTTGTCTTTGTGATTCTTTTTCTTTACCTTAGATGAGGACAACTGCTCACATTTCAATGGTGGTTGTACTCACCAGTGTATTCAAGGGCCTTTTGGGGCTACATGCACATGTCCTTCAGGATACCAACTTGCCAATGATAGTAAGACCTGTGAAGACATTAATGAATGTGATACTCCAGGATTTTGTAGCCAGCTCTGCTACAATCAGAGAGGTTCTTTCCGGTGCACTTGTGAGAATGGCTACAGATTAGAAGGTGATGGGAAGACTTGCAAAGCTACAGGTAATTATTGAGCTTCAAAGTGAGCCACTTCCAGCCAATTTAACTGTACTCCTGAGTTTATGATTAAATGTTGTGCATGGGAATTTGACAGTGTTGAGTAGGATGCATAACAACTTGAATCTTGTTTCTGTTAACCTCAAAGGTCTTAATCTACATTGAAAACTAGAGGCTAAAACATATCCAGATTTTAAAAAAATATTTTAAATAATATTAAATCTGTTTTAAATGATTTATAGATTATATTTAAATATCTATGCATAATGCTTAGTGAATTTGATTCAACTAATATTGAGTTTCTACTGTAATGAAAGTAACTATACCTGTATTAGAATATTGATTCAGCTAATTTCAAAGTCACCAAAAAATGGAGGATGAAACAAGATTTCCAAGTAGAAGTCTGAATGGTAAGCAGTTTAGGGACAGAGGAGATCTGTTATCTTCTTCACATGGCTTCCATCTCAGATCCAATGCTATTACTCCAGTTTGTGATATCTCTAAAGTAGGAAAGAGAAAGAAAAAGTAGAGAGCCAGCCTCTTCCCTTGAAGGATGTGACCTGGATGTGGATACATCATTTCTACTCAGATCCTATTGGCCAGGACCTAGTCACATGGTTACCACAAGCTGCAATGGAGGCAGAGACCTGGCTTGAGCTGTGTGGCCATGTGGTCAACTGAAACTTGGCATGCCTTCTGACTGCAAAGACAGGAGAGGGGATGTTGGCAGACACTTAGAATTTTCTGCTGTAGCTTAATGCCTCAGGGAAAACAAAAATGTTTGAGATATAATTCTTGCTGTGAAAAGCCCACACTTAAGGTAGATAAGCAAAATATAAAAATAAACACAGTTCAGGAATAATATAAATTTACTCCAAATGCATAGACATTTGTTGAAGTCTAATTCAAATAAGAAAAATATTTCAGAGTCTACCTGTAATAGTTATGAGAATCAGCTATTAAGGTTAAGAATGGAGCAATTAAAATAATTCTTAGCCCCACCCCTATTATGTTTTGTAACCTTCCTTCAGTTATCAAAAGTATTGTATCAGATGTTTAAAAGACCCTCTATTTTTCTTCCTAGAATCACTGATATTGTGCCTTTTTTCCCCTCGGACAGCATCTGAAAGCGTGCTATTGCTTGTGGCAAGCCAGAACAAAATTATTGCTGACAATATCACCTCTCATGTCCACAATATCTTCTCACCGGTCCAGAACGGCTCTCACATTGTGGCTCTTGATTTTGATTCAGTCAGTGATCGTATCTTTTGGTCAGACTCGAGTCAGGGTAAAACTTGGAGTGCATTTCCAAATGGGACAGATAGGAGAATAGTAAGTACCTTTCTGCAGACTTTGGGGTTGTCCAGTTCTGACTGTGGGTCTATTTAGTGTTACTCACTAAGAGACATGGCCCACCTCCCTCACTCTGGGAAGCTCTCCTGGTCCCTTCTAGATAAAGCAAACCATCATCAGGCGGCCTAAATGTTCACAGTTATTAACGTGTGTTTTTATAGGAATGTGTTCTCTGAAAGCCTGTCCATGAATGAGAGCAGATGAAATTGCAGGAGAATCTGGGTTGCTGTTATTAGTTTAATTTAGTTACATTTCTTGATTCATTTTCTAGACTGACTGACTGCCTTCCTTCCTTCCTTCTTTCTTTCCTTCTTCCTTCCTTCCCTCCCTCCCTCTCTTCCTCCTTCCCTCCCTCCCTCCTTCCCTCTCACCTCCCTCCGTCCCTTCCATTCCTCCCTCCCTTCTTGTCTGTCTGTCTGTCTGTCTGTCTGTCTTTGTCTTCCATGTCTTTTTGAGACAGGGTTTTGCAGTGTAATTCATTCTGGCTGTGAACTCACAGTGTAGTTCAGGCTGTCCTTGAACTCCCAATGATCTTCCAGCCTCAGCCTCCCAAGTGCTGAGATTACAGGCTTGTGCCGCTACATCTGGCAAATTTCAGTTTGTTAACCCCTGGTAGTTACATTTCTTCTGCTCCTTAGAACCTTGTTTTGTAATTGTACCCAAAAAAGATATTACTTCTGGTGTATGAACATTATGAAGTTTCATAAGGTTGCAGATTAGTGAATGTGTTTAACTCTTGTGTAGATGCAAAAACTTTTCAAATCAAAATGAAGTAATCTACTAATTCAAATAATAGGATTCTCTTAGAGTAGTCAATGTTGTGAAATCTTGTATATTTTTTCCCAGAATACCCTACTGTTGATTTACATGTTAGCTTCATAGGAAGACCAGCTTTGTTAACTCCAGTAAACTATCATAGGACAAATTTGATGCTTTATGTTAGATTTTTATAGTTTCCACAACTGGATTTACATATTCTCTCTACTCCCTACCCTTAACTCACTTCTGTCTATAGGTGCATGAAAGTGGTGTTTCCATGACAGAAGCTATTGCAGTAGACTGGATAGGACGGAATCTTTACTGGACAGACTATGCTCTGGAAACAATTGAAGTCTCTAAAATTGATGGGAGCCACAGAATGGTGTTGATTAGCAAAAACGTAACAAATCCACGGGGACTAGCACTGGATCCCAGAATGAAGTAAGGCTTTTTTAAAATTAACTTTTGAAAGGACACGCATAGTGATGGGAAAACACCACGGGTAGCAGAGAAGGTATGCATATCACAAAACTCAGTGACCCTGTTGACATATGGTAGGCATCTGCCTGGCTGTAGATGACCTCCTTTTATGTAAGTAATCTTCTTCACAGACTATGCAAGAGCACATTGATTTATTGCGTCGGTGATACAAATGCGAAATGATTATTGTATGATGATGTGAATTAATGCGTGCAGTAATATTCTGTAGTCATCCATGGGCCATGTAGCTGTGACTTAGCTATCACATGATTACACAGCCAAAAGCATCAGTTTTTTTTTTGTTTGTTTGTTTTTGTTTTTGTTTTTTGCGGGGATCTTCAGTTTTGTGTTGTTTATTGGAGTTCCCTTTTGAATTGTATAAGGAGGAATGTCTTGTGCCTGCTGGTCATAAAAACATTCTCCTAAGTGTTTAGAAACCATAAAGGACTTCTTTTTTTGAAGTTAAGAGTGTACAACTTACATTCTTTTCTTTCTTTATTTATTTATTTATTTGTGTGTGTGTATGTGTGTGTGTGTGGCCAGCTCAGCCCACCAGGGGTTGGGGCTGGCTGGCATGTGGTGCTGGGGGATTGAACCGCGGTCCTTGTGCTTTGCCAAGCTTGTTCTAAGTAGGTGCTTTAGACCACTGAGCCATCTCACCAGCCCCCATTCTTTTCTATAGAATGATGAATTAGACAATTTATGTTCACCATAATGCCAGGTTCCTAAATATTATAAATTATTGCACACTTTATGTTCAATTGCTGAAGAGGAATATATTGACTCTTATCTGAAACATGATGAAGTAGACAAAGATGGATGGACTTTTCTAGATCAACTATTTATGGATTATACACAGACATGAATTGGAATTAAACATTTCAGTGTCATAGTGTATTTCATGTTTTATGAACAATGAAACACCCAGATGGCTTGTGATTACATTATGATTACAGTTTCTTACTTTGCAGCATTCGGAGGAAATACAAGCTGTGTGCATGTACTATATTGTGAACTGGAAATGATTTATTTCAAGCAGAGCATGTATAGGATGTTGTGTTATCGCAAATGACAGTTATTTTTCATGTTGATCTCCAGTTGGTAACCATTTTCCTTTTGCAGTGAGCACGTGCTGTTCTGGTCTGACTGGGGCCGTCACCCTCGCATTGAGCGAGCCAGCATGGACGGAACCTTGCGTACTGTCATCGTGCAGGAAAAAGTCTACTGGCCGTGCGGCTTGACTATTGACTACCCCAACAAGCTCATCTATTTCATGGATTCGTATTTTGATTACTTAGACTTTTGTGATTATAATGGACAACATCGGAGGCAGGTGATAGCTGGTAATTTGGTAAGTTTAGAAAGGCAAACCAATTAAAGCTACATTAGTGGATAGGTAGAAAAGAGAATATTGAGAAAACTAAGAAAATGATATTTGTGCCATATGTAGTATCAGGTTAGTGCAGAAAATATCAACAGTGGGAAGCAATACATCTATTAGTAACAGAACAATGAATATTTTTTATCCTAGTTCATGATCAGTTTGTGCCATGTCTGGGGTTGGTTAATAGCTCATACGACTTCATTGATCTGCAGATGCTAATCTACTTTTGGATCTTTAAAACCATGTTTAGCCAATGTTAATAATGTATTAAATTTATGTTTAGCCAAAAATAACCTAACTTTGTTTATATTTCTTGATTAAATCTTACCATTTTAGATATTTAATATTCTTTATCTTTTTAAAAAAATTTAAAAAAATTTATTTATTTATTTATTTATTTATGTGTGTGTATGTGTGTGGCCAGCTCAGCCCACCAGGGGGTGGGGCTGGCTGGCATGTGGTGCTGGGGGATTGAACCGCGGTCCCTGTGCTTTGCTAAGCTTGTTCTAAGTAGGTGCTTTAGACCGCAGTCCCTGTGCTTTGCTATGCTTGTTCTAAGTAGGTACTTTACACCACTGAGCCATCTCACCAGCCCCAATATTCTTTATCTTGTAGAATTATTTTTCCCAAGTTAGATATGCAAGTACAGTGTAGTTGTGCATGGCTGTGCTTGCAGGAGGATTTCAGTGAGTTTGAGGACAGCCTGGGCTACTACTTAAGCCAGTTCAAGGCCAGCCTGCATTACATAATGAGATCCTGTCTCAAAAAGACCAAAAAACAAAACAAAAAGCAACAAAACCAGAAAGTATGTATTTTACACAGGAGCTATTGCTGGTTTCCATTTAAGAGTCCCATTGTTTATAGGTCCTGGGACTTATCGCAGCTCTGGGGCCCCCGCCTTCAGGAAGTTCAAAGCTAAGCCGAGGGGTTTTGGGGAGGGGTAGTTAGCCTTGGGCAAGGGGTGGTAAGAGTGGGGGTCGGTGCTCTGCAGCAGGTACTGCAGGGCCTCCGACTCCATCCTCTGGTTTCCCACAACCTCTACTGGGTAAAGGATCCACATAGGTCCCCTTCCTTTCTGTGCGCCTGTTTTCTTTTCTTTTTTTTTTTTTTTTTTTTTTTTTTTTTTTTTCATTTTAAAATGGCTGACCAGTGTCATTCCCAGAGTAGACAAGTGCCTGTGAAAGTGTATTGAGTAGAACAGTGGGACTCACAATGAGTGGTATGGATTTGCTGGTCTGGTATACATTTACTTCATTGCATTTTATTGGATGCTGAAGGATGGCCCCTGGGCTTTCCTTCCCGGGTGAGCACTCATGCTCTGCTTCTGCCTCCCAGATCCTGCAGCACCCCTACGCCCTGACGCTTTTTGAAGAATCCGTCTTCTGGACAGACCGTTCCACTCGTCGGGTTATGGAGGCCAACAAATGGCATGGAAGGAACCAGTCTATTGTGATGTATAATGTCCGCCAGCCTCTTGGGATTGTTGCAGTTCATCCTGTGAAACAGCCATCTTGTAAGTGATGGTGCACATGTCCTTCCTGGGCTGAGCGCCGCGATCTCTCCTGGGAATGTTGAGCGTGCACAGTGTGGGCACTGCATCCTCCTTCCTCCCTGACTCAGCTCTGCATCCCCACCCCCGCCTTTTTTTTTCCCCCTCCTGGAACCAGGGATTAAACTCAGGCCCTTGGACTTGCCAGGCAAGCGCTTATTCCACTGAGCTATCTCCTCGGCCCCATTGCTTTTATTTCCTCAAACCTTGTTATAACTGATAGCAAGCACCTACCTATGGCATCTACCTTGTATTCACAAGGATTTCATTTTTCTCTGCGTCTCAGTTTCCTAAGCTGTAGACCAGATAGCACCTCAGGCCTAAAGCAGCATGTTATTAGGCTCATTTAATTTGTGTTGAGGGAGGGTGGTCCTAGGACTAGAACCCAGGAAGTACTGAGCCACACCTCCCTGCCATTTTTAAGTTTTTAAATTTTGAGGCAGGGTTTTCCCGAGTTGCCCTGGCCTAGCTCAAAATTGTGATCCTGTAGCAGGCATGTGCCAGTGCGCCTGGCAGGACCTCATTTAGGGTGGCACTGTCCTTGTAGGTGCACTGCTGTGGCCTCCCAGAGTCACACGCAGGCCCAGGGTGGGGGTGGGGCTAGTGACTTAAAACTTTGGCCTTGGTGGTGTTCTGTGTAGCAGAAGAGCAAAGCAAGTCACTTTGATCAGTCTTCACATACTGTCCTCTCAAAGCCCTCCAGCATTTCCTCTCACACTTGAGAATCAGTCCCTGCTTCTTTCCTGGCCTTTACCCTCTCTTGTGTCACCACCTCAGACTTCCAGAGCACCAGGCAGTGCTGGCTTTGAGCTGGGTGGCTCCTCACTCTGCTGGTGCACTGGCTCCCAGTGAGGGTTGTCCTTCCTGTCACTGAGGATTCTGCTCAAAATGTCACTTCCTCAAAGGCTCCTTGATGTAGCCCCACCTCATAATTTTTTTGCTATTTACCTTCACATTCTGAAACCACACACATGCACACCACACACACACACACACACACACACACACACACACACACACACAAGTTCATATCTCTTTTTGCTAGAATATGTGCTCTGCATTGTTTATAGACTCTCCAGTGCTTAGACTGGTGTTCCGTATCTAGTGAATGCTGAAGATTTTTGGAGTGAATGGATTAATAATTTAACATGGAATACGTAACAGGAACACATAAGATCTAGGAAACATCCTGTGACACTTTTCAAGGAGCAGAGACACACAAAGATATTAACTGTAGGAAAAGAAAAGATGACTATACAAACATGGACAATGCTGGGTAAATGTCAAGGTCACACAGCAAATGCAGTCTGATTTCATTTAATGCAGAAAGGTCTTTTAGTCAGACAGGAATGTTATTTACCATCATATTTCTATTCTCAAGTTCCAAATTATGCCATGGCTGTTTTTTCATAATCTGATATATCTTGGATTAATGTACGACCTTGGGCCAGTCACCCCGCCCTGTTGTGTTTTAGGCAGAGGTGATTTAAGGTACCCATGTCACCAAGTCTGGGAGCCTCAGGGAGGTATCTGCACCTCATGTTCCACCAAGTGATCTCTGTTTGTTTTTTCCTGTAGCCCCGAACCCGTGTGCCTCTGCCCCCTGCAGCCACCTATGCCTGCTCTCCACCCAGGGGCCTCGGTATTATTCATGTGCTTGTCCATCGGGATGGGATCTCTCCCACGATTCCATGAACTGCGTGAGAGGTACAGTATGCCCGTGAAGTGTGCTCTGAAGAAGAGCCAGTCCTGGCTTGTGGGGGACATGTTCTTGTTTCCTTGAGTTGGACAGGGTTTTGCGCTGTGCTGTGTGGGACAGTTCAGTTGGGTACCTCAGTTGGAGCACAGCTTCCGTATTTGGAGCTAATATTACCTATGCATGTGATCTTTAGATCTTTAAACTCATTTTTCCTTGAGTCTTTGATAATAGGAAATTTCAAAATTTCAAATTCTGCACTTTGGTTTTCTTGATTTGTAATAGTAATTAATGTTCCAGTCTGGGTATTTTCCTCCAATTTCGGTACTTTTAATATTACCATCTGATACTTTAAAAAACTGAAAAACACAGACTGTCTGAGGGACTCCTTGGGCAATTTAATCTTCATCTCATCCTTGAAGTATTTTATGGAGTTGATTGAAGAGGGTGTGGAGGATTATTCCAAGTACTTTAGTGAGTATGAAAGACAAAGAGTTTTCTTCAGGTGTATGTACTAAACCTACAATAAATTAAAAAAAAAATCCTTCTTCATTTCTTAAATCTACAGTTAGCTTGTTTCTTTTGCCCATAAGATAACCTAAGTATATTTTGATATTGATAAAATTGCTGTGGACAAAATTATAGGGTAATGATAACCCATTCCTAAACTTACCAATAGTACAGTCTAAGTCTAGAGGGGAATCAAGTTTTCGAAAGGAAAATGCATGCTAAATCCGGGATATGTGTGGCAGTTGTAGACCATGCAGATGTAAGATTACTGCAAATTAAATTCCACCAGCACGCAGTATTGTGCAATGACAAGCTGGCGATGAAAGATTTTAATTATCAGTGATGCTTACCAAAGGGGTTGGCATTTGCCGTTTTTCTTCAGACTGATTATATACCTAATCCTTGTTGACACTGTTTAATTTAGGGTGTCCTCAGAGTCTTTCAGGAGAAGATTAATCTGGCTGTCGACATTTTAGACACAAAGTCTCCTTTCAGTTCACTGAGACGGTTCGCTGTGCGTTGGGCTTTGGTGTGGTTGCTGCTGGCTGCTGGTGACTGACAACTGTTAGTTCTAACTAGAATGTCTTGTTGTTTGAAAAATAATGTCACTCCTGGTTTTCCCACGGGTTAACTACACTGAGGGAGAACTTTCTAGTTTTTCCCAGTTGGTTCCTGAGCCCTAGTTGGGCAACTTGAGTAACAATAGATGCTCATTTACAAAGCAATGCACTATTTTTTCAAGAGGAAATTTGTAAAGCCTGTTAACATAAGTAGATGACATTTCTCTTGAGTTAATTGCTTAATCATTTGCAAAGTGATGTGTTCTGAGTTCTCTGAGTATCTTCAAAAGTGCCTATGTGACATTATGTGAAGATGTAGATATTGCCTAATATTAGTTCTATAAAACTATGCTTTAAAATATCTAGCAGAGCCATGTATGGTAGTACACCCCTATAATTCCAGTTCTCAGGAAGCTGAGGCAGGAGGATCTTCACAAGTTCAAGGCCAGCCTGAGCTATATAGTGAGACCCTGTCTCAAATTAAAAAAAAAAAAAAAACTAACAGAAAACATATATAATACACACACACACACACACACACACACACACAGATATACTAATAGTGGGTCCAGTTATTCAGGGGAATTATTTCTATTTTTTTCTATATTTAAATGGTAGCTTTCTGAAATTTAAAATTTTTATTTATAAGTTGTTCCTTATAATGTCAACCAAATAAATAAAGCTCAAGTCCAAATCCTTTACAATGTCTTCAAATCCAAAATAGGCTTCTGATTCAGTCTGAAGGGCTCTACAACTCTGTGTGAAGAAGGGAGCAATCGTTCTACACTAGTTGGGGCATGGTGACCGAAGGGCTCTTGTGTTTAGGGGGGTCATAAAGGCCGCCACTGAGTGATGTGACCTCCATTCCTTAACTGTGTAGTCTCTTCACGTCAGTGTTCTGCCAGCGTGTACCTTAACGGGATCGTGAAAAATACACGTGAAAAGGTGATCCTTTTTGGAATAAGACTAAGACATGGTGCCGGAGGACCGCTTTATGCCCTCCCTCATCAGAGTGAACTGTGAGGACCCGCACACCTGGTCTTCACCCCAGACCAAGATCCTTCAGAGTGAAGCCTCCAGCTAATTGGTGCCTATGTGCTTATTGCTGATGGGCTTTGGTGGCATGCTGCAGCCCTCAGCATACATTGAGGGAAAGACAAGCTTTAGAATACTCTTTTTGGGTCCTTCCCTGGTCCTGGGTTTTTCATCCATTTGCTCCTTAGGTGTGTGCTATCATGAAAAGCCCTTTTTTCTCCTTCCTATAGGGCGCTTTTCACATACCCATCCTTCTGCCTCCTACCCCTCACCTCACTGGTCACTTCTGGTGTCATCTTCTACCACTCTTGCTGTCAGTGGGTGCAACTGGGGCTGCGGTGAGCTGGGCTGTAACTCCCTCCACTTGGCAGGGCCATCAGATATGGGGCCAGGGGCTGGCGCACATCCCCAGGAGGAGGGGTAGACAGGGAAGAATGACAGCTACGTGGGATGTTGAGGATTTGGTGGAGGAGAAGGGCCAGGTGTTTTAGGGCTCTAAACAATGATTTGGTTAAGAGTTGTTCCAGTTAAATAGAAAGCTTATCTCTCCAAAAACAAACAAACAAACAAAAAAACAACCCACAAAATGCAGCAGGATCAGGCTTTGAATAATATTTTAATTTCTCCTATAGAATTGATAAATAGTTTTTGGGTTTTTTGTTTTTTTCCTGTCTTTTTGAGACCGGATCTTGCTATGCGGCTCATGATGGCCTTGAGCTCATTCTGTAGCCCAGGCTGGTCTCAAACTCACAACGATCTTCCTGCCTCAGCCTCCTGAGTGTGGAGATTACAGGCATGCATCTGGCATTGGCCTGCACTTTTGCAGAGGAGTGATGAAAATCATAGACTTTGGAGCCCAAGAGTCCTGGTGCATGATCTTAATTTTTTCCCTACTTTGCAATTGTTAACTCTATGCCAAACAGGATTACGAGGGCTCAGGAGGATGAATTAAATCAAGCAATATTTACCAGATGTGAATCAATCAGGTGGAGTTATTAGGGCAACAGCATTTGTTTACAGGCAGCCAGTGAGTTGGGCCGGGGAAGTAGCTTGCATGTGAGTGATATGGAACATGGAGAGCAAGGGCATGGGGGCTAACAGTCGGTCTCCTGTGGCGTAGCGCCCAGCTCTGGTGGCAGAGAGTCTGGCTGAAAGCAGCCTTGCGGGCTTGCTATGTGGGAGAGACCACCTGCTGTATTGGTGTGCTTTGGGAAATGGTGCAGTAGTAGCTACCCAGATGAAATTCAAGTTAAAGTTGTTCTAGATTACTGAATACTATATCTCAGTAATGAACATGGTAAGGATGAGGAAAAGTTTGAGATGTAAGAATAAGAAAAGAAGGGCCTAGGGAGATCTCTCAGTAGAATAAGCGTTTGCCTGGCAATCAAAGTTTCCTGAGTTCAAGCCCCAGTACTGAAAAAAAAAAAAAAAAAAAAGACCCTAGTGGGGCCAGGGAGAAGGCTCAGTAGAATAAGGGCTTCCCTGGCAATCGCAAGGGCCTGAGTTCAATCCCTGGTTCTGCCAAAATAATAAAATAAAATAAATAAAATAAAATGAAAAAAAGTGTCAAAATAATACTGTGAAAACATGTAGAGTCCCATATTATCGAACTAAAAATCATGTGGAGCTTGAGAGTTATGTGATGACTATTCATTTTTCACATTATTTCAATACTTCTATATCTTCTATGTGTGTCTTAACAGCACAAAGTTTATATGCGAAAATTTTGCTTGGAGAAGATTTTTAAATAGAATCCACTCTTGGATTTTGTTACTTTAGGCTCTTTTTTTGGATGGTGGCCTGGCTGCCAGGGTATAGATTAAATTATTTTTGGAAAAGGAAACTTTTATCTGTTAAGCAGGCTAAGTGAAGTAATACATTATGGGTATGTTGTAAGAATTTTTTTGGTCACACTGTTTATATATCTACTTAGGCATCAATGTCTCTTTTTTAATTTTTATTTTTATTTGGTGCAGGGTCTCACTACATAGCTCGAATTCATAGTGATCCTCCTATTTCAGCCTCCTCAGCAATGGGATTACTGGCATGTGCCACCATGCCTGGTTTCTGCGGCTGCCATGTGTGCCCAAGGTTCTGGAAGGGGACATTCGAACCTGGGTCCTTGTGCTTGCCAGGCAAGCGCTTAGACTTCTGAGCTATCTTCCCAACCTCTGATGTGGTCATTCTTGACTCCAGTTACTTACTGAGCAACTGTTTTGCCAAGATCTTTATCAGTCTCTGGGGACACAGTAAAGAGCAAGTTTAGCACCATCACTGCCCTTTGCGGATTAGAATTTAGCAAGGAAGACAAACTGGACAAATAACTGATGAAATTATATTCTTGGATTTATTTACTATTGAATGTAATAAATAATAGGTAGCACTTTGTAGGGACTAATTTTCTGAACATGCTTGAAACCTGGAAGCTGCCATTCACTGAGAACAGCCTAAAAATTCTCTTGCATGTTTCTCACCCAAAGCCTTTTCTCTCTCCTCCCTGAGTTGTCCAATGTTAGTGAAGTTTGCCTAGGTCTAGAAATGAAGGAACTTTATAACTGCAAAGTTTATCAAATGCTGGTGGTTTTCAGTGTAAGGAATTAATAAATGTAAGTAAGGAATTTGCCTCTTCCTTGCAAAGATGCAGACAGCATTGCACGTGGAGCAGGTCTGTGACCCAGCAAGCGGCTGACCTCACAAAGCCGGTAGCTACCTGCCACAGGTGCTGTGCGCCGAAGGTATCGCTGCAGCAGCATTTTAGCGCATGCTGTGCTAATAGCCCACTGCCTTTCCCAACTCGACCTGTCTGGAAGTAGTGTGATATAATTTTGACCGATGCTGTGCTGTTTCCACAGGTGATCAGCCTTTCTTAATGACTGTAAGAATGCACGTAATTTTTGGCATCTCCCTTGATCCTGAGGTGAAAAGCAACGATGCTATGGTTCCCATAGCGGGCATACAGAATGGCTTTGATGTTGAATTTGACGAGGCGGAGCAGTTCATCTATTGGGTTGAGAACCCTGTAAGTGCTGAGTAACATTCATTGTACATAATGGTCTAGAAGAGGCTGCTGGACTGATGCCTTCTTACAGGTTGACTTCTACGGGCTGGCTCAGAGTGAAGTGGCCCAGAAACCAATTTATCACTAAGCTTGGATTTAGTGAGGAATGTAAATGCAAACTTGGTTTGGAATAAAGATTAAAAAGAAAAATCTTTATTAGAATAATAACAAAATTGTAAGCTATTGGCATTATTTGCTTATTCAGATTCTTGTTACATGCCTGCAGTTTGCCCTGCACTGAGCTGTCGGCTTCTAAGTCATGGGGGCCCGAACATCAGCTCAGTTGTTTAAGTGCCTGCTTAAAAAAGCAGTGAGGCTAAATTTGCACTGGTTCGAACCCAGATACTCCAGCCAAACCAAAAACGACCTCAGGGCATGTTCAGGCCTCCAAAAAAAAAAAAAAAAAAAAACCTGCTTCTAAGTCATAACACAGGCCAGGTGAAGTTTGTCCAGTTGTAGAAATGGGAGAACTTTACTTTATCGGGGAGCAGTGGTCCCAGCACTGGCCTCAGAGGAGCTTCAGCTGGGAGGAGATGCTAGGCTAATGGAAAACTGACAGTGACACAAGCTAGAATATAGTTCCCTGCAGGAGTTGCAGGAAAGCCTTCCACAGGCCTGTTGGGCCTCCATCCGAACCTTTGCAAGAGTGAGCACCCCTGAAGTCCCCTCCTGCAGGGGACACTTTCCCCACTCTTCCTGGAAGCAACCTGCAAGGATGGGGAGAAGGCAGAGCAGTGAGGAGGCCACAAGGAGAGATCTCTGGGTCTGAGGTCTGTCTCCCTTACGTACAATGTGCTCCTGGGCTCTGATCCATTGGTGTGACTTTTTTCTGTTGCCTCCGGAGCCTGTGGTTGTTAGCAAGCATCTCTGCACACAGCCGCAGAGCTATCCTGACTCAGCCTGTGCTCCTGTGATAGGTTAGCACATCAGAGTTTTGAAAAGATGCTGATATTGGCATTTTGCACAGCAAGTCTGAGCAGTGATGTTGCCCCTTTTCCTGCTTTCATCACGTGTGAGGTATGTGAAGGATATGCAGCCGCAGGCAGGCAGGGCTGCTGTGTGGATGTGCAGTTCTGCCTCAGACCACGCGCCTCCTGTCTGCCTTCCCAGGGTGAAATTCACAGGGTGAAGACAGATGGCACCAACAGGACCGTGTTCTCTCCTCTGTCCCAGCTGGGTCCATCTATGAGCCTGGCTTTCGACTGGATATCAAGGAACATGTATTACACCACGCCTGCAAGCCAGTCCATTGAGGTAATGGTGCCATAACCATGACACACACACTGCTTTCAGATGCACCTGAAATCTAGTCCAGGAAAAGTTCTCATGTTTTTTTGTTTGTTTGTTTTGGCTTCTTTTTTTAAAAAAATTATGTATTTGGTGCAGGGTTTCTACACAGCTTGGACTCTAGGGATCCTCCTATTTTCAGCCTCTGCAGTGCTGGGATTACAGAGGTACGCCACCATGCCCAGTCTCTTGTCACCAGCTCAGTGAGCCCCAGGAGCAGGGCTGGTGTGGCATGCGGGACTGGGATCAAACCCTGGTCCCTGTGCTTGCCAAAGCAGGTACTTAGTCTGCTGAGCTATCTCGCTGGCCCTTCTTCTATGGGTTTTGAAATTATTCTTAAATAAAGAGGCAAATGGGAAAGTAAATATATTAGTATTAACTATCACAGTCTCTGAAGCTGAGGAAAACAGTGTTAAAATGAATTACTGGGACTTTTATTGTCCTGTCTTGTTTCCCTCTTTCCATACTAACATGTTCCTAGGAGAGTATTAGATAATTTACAGCTGGGCTTGGTGGTGTACACCTATAATCCCAGCACTCAGGAGGCTGAGGCAGGAAGATGGCTGAGAGTCTGAAGCCAGCCTGGGTTACAAAGTGAATTCAAAGCCAGCCTGAACTGCAGAGTGAAACTCTGTCTCAAAAGTATTAGATAATTTGTTTTTTTAAAGTTTATTTATTTAGTGTGTGTGTGTGTGTGTGGGGGGGCCAGCTCAGCCCACCAGGGGGTGGGGCTGGCTGGCATGTGGTGCTGGGGGATTGAACCGCGGTCCCTGTGCTTTGCCAAGTTTGTTCCAAGTAGGTGCTTTAGACCACTGAGCCATCTCACCAGCCCCAAGTATTAGATAATTTGTAAAAGAATAAATGAAAAAATATTTAAGAAATTTGTCCAAAAAGGAAAGGTTATGGTAGGCAGGAAATTTTCACTATTTTTGTCATTTAATCTTCTTCAATACCACTTCAGTTCTCTTCCAGATTTATAGGCTTATTCTCTTCTGAGATGGAAGTGGTGACTTCAGTAGTTTTTCTAACAGTGAAATAGAAAGGAGAAATTTGATGCTAATTCCTTTTTTATTCCCCTTTTTGAGATGTGTTCTTTTTATCCTAATTCCCAGAAGAAATTCTAGATGGGATGAAGTAAGTGCAAGGTAACTTCACCAGTACTGGTTCTCCACTGCAGGGTTGTTCACTCATGGTAATTTTGGAAGCAGAACTTCCTTGGGTGGGGGGTGTTTTGAGAAGGACAGCTAGTAGAGCCCTGCATGGTGACAGTCCACTGTGGGGGTGGGCACTCCAGAAACAGGAGTTGGAGATAAGGAAGGTGCACCCAGCCTGGTGATAAATTGGAGCATGTTGGTGCCAGGAGCTCTTGCTGGAATAGTGCTTCATAGTTTTCCCTAGATGTCTTTTCATCTAATCCCCAAGAGCAGGTAGGTGCATAGCCATTCACCAGGAGAGAGAAATTCACAGTATATTGCAAACCAGGTTGAATCATTAGGTATGACCTGGGGCAACTTGGAGCATCATCTGGTTCATGCTGGTTATTTTTTTAATATAAGAAATTGAGTCCCACAGAAGTCAAGAAGTGGGCTTAAATGTTCAGCGTCAGTGCCCTGATTCTGGGGTGCTGATCTGTCTTTGAATTGTCATAACCTACAGCTTTCCCAGTCCAGACCTAATCCCCACTGTCAGAGGGAAAAGTTTTTTCCAATTACAATTAAAACTGTCATCCTCTCATCAAAACATAGACAGAATATACTGACTAAGATCCGTAGTGCTAAACTTGTGGCCTCCTAGATGCAACTCAGTGCAAAGCTATCTTACTCTCAAATGACAATTAATCTGCTCTCCTTCTGTTTCTTGGTCTTTTGCTTGGTGAATGGGGCTCTCCTCCTTTTTCAAAAGCAGGGAACAAGTCTTTCTCATCATTGAACAATGAAAGGGCTTCTGCTAAGAGTAACTGTGTGTGCAAGTGTGTTTTGGAAGGGCTCTTTGACCCCATACACCTGATGCTTGCAATTATGCCCAGTGTGGTGTTGTGCATGGGAAAGATAACAGAGCGTGGAGCCCAAGACCTGGCTTTTGAGTCCTTGCCCACTATGTTAATTCACTCAATGAGCACTGGTCAGTGTTTTCCATGGCTCAGGCCCTTGGCTGTGTATATTTGAGTGAGTGTAACATTTTAAGCAGTTCCTACATCTGCGAGACAAACACCTCTGTGCTACAGGGAATAAGTGTGTGTAGGGGGGCAAGGAAGTACTAGAGTGGGAGGCAGAGGTAAACACGAGGGGAGAGTAAGAAGCTTTCCGTGGGCCCTTCTTTACCCCCCCCCAACCCCCCGTGTCTTGAATGGTGGCATGTGCACAGTTCTGCCAAAAGAAGAAGCAAGGAAGAGGCACACCAGGCATAGGCAATGCCCTGAAGTGGAAATGCATTTTATGGCTTGGAATAGCACTGGTTTTCCTCCATGTATGGTAGCCTGACCTTGGACAAATGACCTGACTTCTTTGTGCCTCTGCTCCTTTGAGTGTGTGTGTGCGTGCGTGTGCGCGCATGTGCATGTGCACGTCTGACAGGTCAGTAGGAAGAGGACTGAGGGACGCTACCATGCAAAGGGGTTTCCCTTGATTTCCCCGGTGAGCTAGAATATCCACAAAAGACTTAGGAGAGTAAGGACCCTTTTAATGTTTTTATTGTTCTTTCTCTTAGGTAATAGAAATTTAAACAATTCTTCCAAGCAAATTTTGGATTAAGAAAATAGGAATTGTGTCTTCTTAATATTTTTCCATATAATACTGGAGCCTGGGTAGTTCACATTAACTCCACTTGAAATAGAAGAGAAGCTTGGGAACTTGCTTTCCACTAGGGGTAGCTGTGTGCTTTTTCCCCAAACAAAGTATTTTAGTTGAGCCTCGGTGCCTGCTGAACCACTGTGTGAGAGCTTGAGATAGTCCAGAAAATGAGGAGAGGAATTTAACTGTGGACCAAGGAGATCTTTAGAAGCAGGTAGAGCTTGTAACAGACAGAAGCAAAAAAATTTTTGACACAGGGTCTCACTGTGTAATTTATGCTGACCTTGAAGTCACTGTGGAGCTCAAGCTGGCCTTGAACTCATGGTAGCCCTCCCACCTCTGCCTCCTGAGTATTGGGAATACAGGCACATGCTACCATGTGTAGCACTAGAGGCAAAATGAAAAGAGAAAATTATCTTAGTCTAAGCAGGAATCAAAGAAAGGAGAAGGAGGGAACAAAGGGGAAGGAGAAAAAGCAGGGAGAAAGTTGTATGTGTGGTGTGTGCTGGGAGAGAGGAACAGACCTGGCACATAAATGATATATTTGCATTGAAAAAAATTTCATAGAAAAGCTTGAATGTAAATCAGACATTTTAAAATTTCTTATGAGTGTTTCTCTGATAGCCTCGGGTGCACACTCCCTTGGCTTCACCCCAGAACAGGATTACAGGTTGCCCCATGATCACTTTGTTGTTGCAGTACTGGGGCTTAAACTCAGGGCTTTCATACTAAGCTATATTACCCAGGCCTTTTTTTTTTTTTTTTTTTATTTTTTAATTATTTATTTATTTATTTGTGTGTGTGTGTGTGTGTGTGTGTGTGTGTGTGTGTGGCCAGCTCAGCCCACCAGGGGGCGGGCAGGCTGGCATGTGGTGCTGGGGGATTGAACCGCGGTCCCTGTGCTTTGCTTGGCTTAGCTTGTTCTAAGTAGGTGCTTTAGACCACTGAGCCATCTCACCAGCCCCCCAGGCCTTTTAAACATGTTTTATTTCAAGGCAGGGTCATGCTGAGGCCCTTGTGATCCTCCTACTTCAGCCTCCCAGAGATCTGAGATGACAGGCATGTGATACCTGGCCTAATCCACATTTTTATTGTATCTTGTTAATATTGTGATTACAAATAATAACAACTAGAAATGGGTAAAATTAGGACAATCACTAACCACTCTAGGCCTCATTGTCATTGTTCATACTGTGCATAGAGAAATGTCCTCTACCCGCCGGAACTGTCTGTGAGGGTTAAGTGAGGGTGACTGCAGGTATGGTGAATGCTCGAGTAAGAACTTTGATGACAGTAAAAATCACGTGACAGTGACACATTAATCCCTTTTCAAAATACTGAAAGTAACCTCTTTCTCTTTTAGCACGCTTCTCATTCTTGGCAGTGTATCTTTTACTCTAATAAGTAAAGTACATTTTAATGTTCTTTTTATTAATCCTTTTTGTGATAATGCTTGGTTTACTCCTAGTACATACAAATGGACCAATTTTCTTAAAAGGAGACATTTATTAAACACCATCTTGCCAGGTGCCGTGCTTAGTGTTTTGCTTGTATTATCCTTTAGTTCTGTGAGTTATCTGCAGGAAATATGCTCAAATCCACATTTACTGTCAGTGAAACTGAATTCAGATGTTCATACAGTCAGGGCAGGCTGGGCTGAGATTTGAACTGATGTTTTTAAGCTCAGCCTGTTAACTCTCAGCAGAGTGTGCTTAGCTCCAGGTGAAGTTGGATTGTTTTGCTCAACTAGGTTTCTGGTGAGAGGCTGCTGCATGGCATGGCCTGGGCGTGGCACAGAGAGCCATGGACTCTAATTTGTCTTCTGTGTTTTTTTCTTAGCCTTTTCTCTTTGCAGTTTCTCTAGGAAGTAGTTCTGTGTGTTTATCCCATTGACTCTTTCTTTTTATCCATTTAAGTTCTTTCTCCTGAAATTTTTAGTGAATTTAAAATAAAAGTTTTAGAGCTGGGGAGATAGCTCAGTAGGATAAGCGCTTGCCTGGCAAGTGCAGGGTCCTGAGTTCAATCCCCAGTACCGCAAAAAA